ACAGCGAACCCGAGTGGGTGACTACTGTAGCAACAAGCTAGTGACAATTACATGTGACTCTAAAAACCAGGGAGACTGTTGTCAGCCCTGGCTTGTTGCTAGCTTGTGGTCCGGATACGGCAACCACCACGGTACGCATCTCATTCCGTCGTAACTTGACAGCACAGCTTTCCTACAAACTATAGGGAGTATTTCATTGTGACCCCTCGTATGAGTAGAGATTTGGGGTATCAAGATACAGGTAAGTGGATACCAGAAATGGATAGGTAATGTCAGTCGCTGTTCGCTCCGAACCGTTCCAAATTGCTGGCTCACGACACTGCGACACTTATAAGAGCATCTACAGACCTCAACTTACCCTAGCAAATGTTCAAACGAGATTCCTCGTCTTTCTCAAATCAAATATGAGAGAGATTTTACTGTCTTTGAGCCCTATACAATCTATTTTTGAATCGTCGCTTTGTCGTAAAGGGGCGTCTGATATACTGCGTAATGAGGGATGGTTTCCGTGTGTCAAAGTGAGCTGGAACCTAATTACACATCCAGTTGTTGTATGTACATAACATGTACGCACTTGGAAAGGTGCCCATTTAAGCACATACGATCCTTCGAAGCTTTTGGTTCTTTGATAGAAGACCGAGAAAGGCCGACGAAAAATTGAAAGAAGAAAAATGAAATATGAGAAAGAAGGGTAAAAAAAACATACTGCACCTGGGATTCGCTGGTCGTCACCGACCCAACTACTAGTCAGGCGATTGGCGGCTTATCTATGGGAGAGCGGACGGGATCCCGAGTTTTCCACCATCTATGGCCGTATGTGATTACCACCGTGTCAAATCTGGTTTATATAGAGGTAACGTTAGTGTTGATGGGCAGAAGTTGTCGAGTCAACTCAACAAGGAAGTTCTATTTGGTTCGGGTGCCGATGACAAGTGCAATGCACTCTGAATCGGACACCATCTTCTCCTAGTTTATGTTGTTTTCTTTTGTAATGTCACCCGAATTTATGAATGCCGGCTTCTTCAACGTGAGTAACTAAGAACTGGCATCCTGGAGGGGGCGGGCTCGTGGACTTTCTCTAGCATCCTTACTTAATCATTTACTAGCGTCGGCACGTGGTTGCCCCCCTCCGCCCCCGGCCTGCTCCATCAGGAGGGAGTTGGTTCGTCGGAGGAAAATCCAGCGCCGGATCGGATATGACCGTTCTGCGTTCTACGCCGAAGTGATACCTCCCATCAAGAGTCAGCCCACGGGAAGAGATGGCTGTTGTAGACAATTGGGCTCGGTTAGCAACGAATGTTGTTACGTAGCATCCAGGACAGCACCTGTCTTCGGACAGGCAACCCAGTCATCCCTCAGCTCTCTGCAGTTGTAGACTGGGAAAAGCTCTGGAGATGCAGGAAGATGAGATGATACATAATGGGAGAGAGAGCTCTGTCGAGTATGCTTTCATTTTTGCGAAACCTGCCTTGTTGAGTTGCGAAACGGTAATGCCATCGTCGCGGTATAGGTATCATCCTGGCGAACGTTCAACGGCTGGAGTTGTGGGACTGGTCAATCAAATCGGAGCGTCACAGACAAATGTTTTTTAGTGAACCCCACATTCACAACCAATCGGCGCCCTGGCACGTGCCTGGCTTGCCGCGCCGCACTCATGATGGTGGCATGATCTCATTGCCGTCAAATGCCGGCCCCGGCGATTTCAGGTCGCATCTTAGCTGCCGCTTTGTTAATTGACAAGGTATCTATCTCGATCTCGATGGAAGGTTAGGACCAGTACAACAAAACTTAAAATCCATCAGCTTTGAGTTCGCAGGAAAAATTAGTTGTGCGAAGGTAGGTAGGTATGTGTATCTACTCACATTGACCGCATTCGGAAAACATACCACTGGCGTCCTGATCACACATAACCACCATGATTTCTCATCAAGCGATGGCATCCGATGATCCCGATGGTGATAGATTAATATATTGGATCTGGGCCATCCTGCATGTATGCTCTCATGACTTGAACGATTTTTCTTCGCGATAAATCGGTATCTGTCGACGCCGTCCTCACCCGTTGCTTCTTCTCTTCCCCGCCGGGTCCGAGAGATCCTCGCGCGCGGTCAGCTGCTTTGCTAGCGCCGGGACTACGGCCGTTAGCAAAAGAGGCTCTTGTATCAATCATCACAACGGTTCAACCGTTTCCGTTTCAAACCGCATGGCGCTATTCCTGCTAAGTTGGTCGGACGAGAAAGAGGATGATCCCGGACATTCCGCAATCATCACATCACAGTTGCTTCAGATGTGATGCTGCGGTGATGGAGGTAACATTGGCCTCGCATCAACAAATCACCAGTTTTGTAGCGGCAGCCCCTTAATGCATCACGTCACGGGGGGCCATCACGAAATTCCCGTTCTATCTCTGTTGTCACATATCTCGCTGATCGGCCGGACAAGAATCTCCAGACCTGAACCAAACATTAGGCTGCCAACACAAGGGTTGACGGGGATCGGAAAAGAGAAAGCTTCTAGTTCGTTGGGCAGATGCCCATCGAAAGCCCAAAGCACCATCACATGATTGGCTGCTGCCCTAGAGTACCTGACGGCTAGTGACCGTCATCGAACCTCTAATGTAAGTGGTCGCCGAGTTTCTTCGAGCATTCTCCGAGGCGGCTTATCACTATTACCACCCCGGATGGCATGATGTTATTCATCCAGACACATGCGTTTCGGCCTGCTCGGATTTCGAGAAGTCTCTCATCCCTGCCGAACGCTCGCTCATGATGGCACGATCCAAGATGCATGAGGATGACTGGGCGGGGCTGTCAGTCTCGCATGCTTATAAGCTTTCACTTTCCCCCCAACACCAAGGCTAGTTTTCTTCCCTGCCAAATAGCTCAGGTAGACCTTACGCTCTACAGTATCGTCAATCTGCCAAACTCTTTACCACCTACCATTCAAACCCCCCTCTCCTCAGCGTGTGTCATCGTCACAATGGCGGCCATAATACTCCCGCGTAATGACGCTCTAAACACCAATCCGCCGGCAGGCGATCAGTACCTGACCGTCAATGGCTCCGACTGGCTGTACACCGTCTGCGCCATCTATACCCTGACACTGGTAGGCTCTCTCCAACTATGCCGCCCAAGTGATATTCAAACCCCCCCGGTACTAACCCCATGTTTGCCATAGTTGGTGATCTATGCCTTGTCATGGACAGCAAGAGCAGGCGAGCGCTTCTTCCACTACCTCTTCATCATCGCCCTGTTCACCGGCGCCATTGCCTACTGGGCCATGGCCTCCGACCTGGCCTGGTCTCTAATCCGCCAGTCCATGAACTACGGCTACGGCGCGACCCGACAGATCTTCTTTGCCAAGTATGTCAACTGGGTGGTGTCCTTCCCGGTGGTCATCCTCGCCCTCGGCGTCCTCTCTGGCGTGTCCTGGACGACCATGCTGTACCAGATCGGCCTCAGCTGGGTCTGGATCATCGGCTATCTCGTGGCCGCCTACACCACGACCAACTACAAGTGGGGCTTCTTTGCCTTTGGTACCCTGGCATACATCGCCCTCGCCATCGGGACTCTCTTTGAGGGCATGCGCGTGGCTGATCGCACCCTCCCGGGCAGCCGCGACTACGCGCTGCTGGCGGGCTGGACCAACCTGCTCTGGCTGCTGTACCCGATCGCCTGGGGTCTCTCGGACGGTGGAAACCGCATCGGGCTTACTGCCAGCTTCATCTTCTTCGGTATCTTGGATGTCCTGCTCATCCCGGTCCTGGCGTACTCCTTCATCATCCTCTCGAGAAGGTGGGATTACAACAAGCTCAACATCGCCTTCACGCAGTACGGTCGCGTCCGCGCTGGCACGGGTACCTATCCTGAGAAGGAAGCCCCCGCCCCCGCCCCCGCCCAACCCGCGGCCCCGGCGGCGGGTGGTGTTACTGGCGACCAGGCTGCTTAAAACAAACCACGTCCCCGAGCAAGGACGATACTCCCACGGATGTGACGTGTGCATGGGTGGGTGAGTGCTTGGGTGGACGAAACAGCTTGGGAAAGGGTTGGGAGAGGAGAGGGGAGGGAGGGAGGAAGGAGAAAAGTGTGGAAGTTAATATACGCTGCTCCATTGGGGGGGGTAGCAAGACGACGGGCGGGGCGGTATTGGTGTTTTACCTCTTACTCGGGGCATGTTTTGGGATGAAGGTAATGATGTTTTGATATGATACCCCCACCACACTCATTTCGGAAAAAAAAGGGATAGGATATATACCCCCTTTATACCCCTTGGCTTAGTTAGGAGTGATTCACTTCTGAGGTGACTGACACCACGCATTTGGTGTGTAATAATGTTAGGTGGAACTTTACTTAATAATATAGCTCATTCTTTTATTTACACTTGTCTCGACACTTCCCTCTCGTCTACACGAAGTGTACGCAACCAACTTTGACGTTGATAATATGTTCTATCTACATACATCTATACATCTTCTATCGTTATCTCTCCGTGTTCCTCTACGATGCAAAACGGTATAGTAGTCTGTCCCTTAAAAAACAACATTCTTTACCTGCTGCCGCCACCGTTACCCTACAATCTACCGCTAATAACGTACGTTGCTTCTTGCCTTTCAACGACGCTTATTGTGCGTTATTACAACCCGACCCAACCTCGTGGGGTAATTACCTGCCAGGTGGTTTTTGGTGTTGAGCGCCTGTGACGACTCAACTGCATTTATATGTGCTCACCGTGGGGATTATCAGGTTTACATTAGTCTTCGAGGTCCCCTAACATCCACCAAAGTAATTTAATTCCACCCTGGTTGTATGTAGGTCACACTTTCTTATTTCGTCAACTTCACCACGGGGAACATACTAACGAGAGAACCGAGACTAGACGAAGCAGACGGGGGTAAAGTCGGAAGTTTTGAAATAGGGATGATGGTTCCCTCAGTTCAGGCCTGGGCCTCTTCTGATGTTGATGTAGTGTTGTGGGGCTTCAATGCATCCATCAATCATCAAGGCAAGATGGCCGAGCGGTCTAAGGCGCCACGTTAAGGTCTTCCAAACCCTTAATCCGCCTCATCTGATGAGGTATAAATCCGTGGTCCGAAAGGGCGTGGGTTCGAATCCCACTCTTGTCATCATCTTCTGCTGGTTCCGAAAGGAAGAAAGAAACTGGCGTATGTGGATACGTTTTTTGGTAGTTTATCAGAGCTCCACCGCATGTACTTCTTTTACCCTGCTCACCACGCCTACACTTAGCATACGCCTCTGCATATCTAGTCTAGGGGTCTGTAAAGATCCGATGTGGATTTGGATGTGTCCCGGTATATCAGTCAAGACAAGAAGAGATCCCTTCGGGCGGGTTAAACAAGCACTCCGAGAAGGCGGGCCGTATGTCTGTCTGTCTGTCTGTCTGTCTGTCTGTCTGTCTGTCTGTCTGTCTGTCTGTCTGTCTGTCTGTCTGTCTGTCTGTCTGTCTGTCTGTCTGTCTGCTTTTTGTGGGTTGTCCATTGCTGGAAGTGGAGTTCGACCCGGATAACCCGTCAGTCGGTGGGGGCAAGCGACTGAAGAAACGGGGCTGCCGATGGTAATGGTCCCGGGTCCACTCCCGACTCCCCCTCCCCTCCCGACTACCCTAGAGTGCCCCTATTTCCATTGAGAATATCTCCATCGTATGTACGGTCTTACATAGAGATCCATAGACGTACGATGATCATGCAGAACATGACTTACACATTGCTAGTGTGCTAAGAGATCCGTCTAGAATTCAATAGGCCAGGTACATAAGTGGGCCATGGCAGGGGAAGTCGGAAAGAAGAAGAAGAAAACCCCCATGATTAGTGAGGGTCTGGCTCGCATCTGGATCGGATTTTGCACAGATAGCCTCTCCATTTCGCAACGGTTTTCGGGCGGGCGGGTAAGGCTAAGAGATAGAAAAGTGAGAGAGACCCTTTTCTCTCCCGACAACCGTTTCGGCGCCGCCGCCGTCATGCCCTCGGAACGAACAAAGAAAATGCCGGACCCCAATACACTACCCGTAACTTGATTTCTGGGAAAATTTCCCAATTCCGCTTTAGGAAATAAACAAAATCCACAGTGCCAAACTGACTTATACCACGTTGGTTTCCAGATAGGGAGGGTCTGATTCAGACAAATCCCATCGTACCACAGAGCAAATGGTATACCACTTCGGCTCCCCAATAAGGCCGGCCAAGGGAAGCAAACGTTCTCCTGTTCCACCTTACATCACCACAAGTGGAACAGTTGCAACAGTGTAAGCAGATTGCGCAGGGTAGCGTGTTTGTGTCTGTGTGTTTGTGTATCCTTGTGTAAAGTACCGTGCTGCTGGGTCAGTGTCTGTGTCACTTACTCCACAGCATCCTGTCTGGTTGCGGTGTGGACGCAGATACTGTGGTACGATGACTCCATCCTCGAGATCCACCTAACAGTGTCTGATTGTAGTCCCTGAACGGAAAACGAGAGATATTCGGGGTTGCTAGAAATGGCCACTGACACGAGAGCATATCACAGTGCCGATATCCAGGTGTTGAGAAGTGATTAGAAAACGAAGGGTCGGCTCCGGGGAAATGTGTGCCATTTCGTAATACCCAAAGGACACACATGATGATGGCGTTGGATGGACCCATGATCCTGGTTCTAGGTGCCAACCCGAGCTGTGTCTTGTGTTACTGTGTGGCAGAGGAGGTGAGACACACAAGATACCGAGATAAAGGAACGAGCGGGACACAAGCAACGTGGAGTCGCCTGATTGTGAGGTCAGTGGCGTCCAAGTCTGAGTAACAGGGTCCAGCATCGGGCAACATGTGTGTGTATGTGTTGCAAGACAAAGAAAGACGGGTTGTACAGTACTCGGGATATGTATGACGTGTTGTCATCACTTGATAGCACTCAAAAGCATAAGCCTGTTGGTGTCAGTAGGGAGGTCGTGAGCCGTGTTTTACCTGGAGTCTCGTAATAGACTTGAGATGGGCCCAACTTTCAAGCTATGAAGACGTTTTGCCTGGGCTCTCTGGAATAAACGTCCTGGTCCGAAGAAGTCCTGTCTGCAGTGAAAAGAGGCGCATCGGCAACTCAACCTTCCGCTCTGAATATAAATAAGTTGAAGTTCAAGTTATCAATGTCTGTCATTTCTCCCAGTCAACTGGCGGACTCTCTCCGCCCAAGCAAACTTGCTGTAAGGGGGTCGTCACCGAACAAAGAGACCCAGCAGGGGAGTTTCGTGCGTCTTGACTAAGACTAATCGTCACTAGAGGAAACAGCTACGCACACGTGGTGGCTTGAGGACACACAAAGACAAAAAAGAGAGTGTGAGACGGGCTGACCGGCCCCCGGGTGGCCCCCGGGTAGCATCAATCACCATTCCTCCGTGGGAAAAAAAAGTATAGAAAGTTGCATCTCGTACCGAGCGAGGGACAAAGCAGGAACCGCCGAAGCGAAGCACACTTTGCACTTTCCGGCAAAACTCCGGGCGTCTGCGTCTGCCCTCCAAACACACACAATCCACAATCCACCTCGGTAACACGACCACCCCGCCCAAAAAAAAAAGCGCACTGACAAAAGATCAAGATTTGGCCTCGATTTATTGAGCCGCATCATGTATGCAAAACAAAAAAAAAGCATCAGAGTATAAGAGACACATGAAAACAACATACTAGAATTTTGTCTGATTTTTAGACGCTGTCTGTAGCTTGTAATCTGCGCCTGAATTATTGCAGCTACAGTGTCGAAATGTCCTTCACGGTGGCACAGATCACTTTGTGAGTGCGCTTTTTTTTTTGGGCGGGGTGCACGACATCGACATCTTCCCAGATCCTCCTCTGGCGGGCACTTTACTGTCTGCCCAGTTGAGACCAACAAAAGATCATCCGGCGGTCATCATGCAAACAAGCCCACTACTGTGTATTACTGTATTTTGAAGTTATACAAAGGGTAAAACCCCCACGCGCAACGACATGCTGTATGACACTCAAATACGTGAATACAAATTAAGGCGAAGAAGGTGCAGCCGACCGCGTCTCTCTCTCTCTCTTCTCGGAAGCCTGCTTCGAGATAGATTGAAATTGTGTGTTCCACGACAGTGCGGCATGGCGCAGTCTTTAAACAAGTGTCACACACCGACTGCCTGCCGCTTCTGCGATCCATGTATCCTCCTCGGGGGGCAGAGGCACAGCATTGCAAAGCAATGACGACTGATGAAGGGAAGCAGAAGGAGGCCGCAAGCAGATAGAAAGTACGAACCCGTATGTCATACACGTGTGCTGGTAGACACAACCATCCCTGCTGTTTTACTTGTGTACTGTGTAAAGGTATCACAAGGTTACCTACCGCAAGGTATACCACACTGCAGCAGCCAAATGCAGGGAATATGCATATGTATGCGTACATACATACATACCCTCAGCCACCAAGCAGCACCCAACTGCAGTAGCAGCAGTCGCAATGGCAGTCGCAGAAATAGACGGATATTTCCGTAACATGTCCGTGGACTGGACGGACTGGGACGGGGTTAAAACGAGAAATGTAAAGCAACTCTATGCGAATGGAATGCTGTGTAAAAAAGGGATAGGGAAGGACATACGTCGTCGGGGATATTCTCGGTCGACTTTCCGAATCCCCCATACACACATGATATAGTAGTAGAAAATAAAATGCCAAGGACGGGAGAGGCGTCAAGTTTCCCGGGCACGCAGGACCTTCCCCTTCAATGGATACATTATCGGGCGATGTGAATCAAACCACCAAAAAAATGCAGACGGGATGGGCTGGGATGGGATTGCGCGCGGGAATGATTTACTGAACCAGACGATGCAATTGTAAGGGTCTCTCTCTCGGCAGTTGTTTGTCTCCCAAGCTTTTACCTTTCGGGGCCGAGATTCAGGGACAGATCCGCTGGCTCTCTCTTCAGGCTGATTTAGAGACAACTTTCCAACAACCGTATTGTGGCGAGATTTGGGTTGCCGCGCACTGTCTCGTGGCGAAGGCCAATAATATTCTTTGATCTCAGAAAAATGGATGAGGTTCCAGAAAAGATCACCAAATTGCCGTGTAGCAATAATGTCTGGTTCGGCGCCAAAGAGAAAGAAAGGGAGGAGCCCAGACCGTGGGGTCGGGCGCAAAGTTGCGTTTGCTTGTCCTCATGCATGCCTGGCCCATGTGCAATGTATACAGTGCATGTGAAGAAGAAGAAGAAGAAGAGCGTTTCGCGGCGGCCGCTCATTGTCACCTCCAAGTTGGAGCAGAGAGGCACAGCAATCTAAGAGTGTGGGAGGTTTGGACGAACGGTAACCCAAATTTAGTCCGTGCGGTTGGGGAATTGCACGCAACATCTGCGCCGCCCACCGCCATGGGAATTCAAATCCGGCTGTCCTACCCTCCCAGTTGAAAGGTGTGTCAAGGGGTCACCCAAGGCGCCGGACACTGGACTCTTCTGCTTCCCTGACACTCCGTGGCGGGAGGGTCTCTCTGTAGGGTCAGATGGAAGCCAATACGGGGCCCATCCGCGAACTGAGGACTTCGGAAGTTTTGCGCTTGCTCCGCGTCTGCAGAAGCGCGACGTAGGGTTGTGTGACATGTTGATCTCTGCCAGTGAGCTTGTGAAGACAGCCGCAACTCACTGTCGATTTTCAACTGTTTGCGTCTGTGTGTGTGCTTCTGAAGGATTGAGGTGTGGTGAGTGCCACACTGCCAAAGGACTTTCACAGGCCCCGAGTCATGCCACCAGTGCTGCGCACGGGCCCACAAGTAATGGGACTCTCTTCTCAAGACGGCAAGGGAGCGGCTTGTCTTAGCTTAGCGGCCGATGAGCGGGATGCAAGAGATGCCCGGGTTGCTTGGGTTGTCATGGATGTTGACGGCACGCCGCACACCTGCGTCGAGATTGGCTGTATGGATCTGGTAAATCGTACAGAATCCTGTTGCTGCAAAGCAACTTTAGACCAGATCTTTGAAGCACTAGCAATAAGGTTGTCTGTTGTGCAAGATTTGGCGCCTGGAGAGCCTTTTCGGTCGAAAAGTTAATTCCATGACGCCCGCCGAGCGCTTACCACCCACTGCCTTGAATCGATAGCGCTTGAGTGGATGCGCAAGAGCACGCCCAGTGCCCGTTCAAATGCTCGTC